AACGAATAACACGAATAATACCAATGATTGTAAGAAGAAGAAAGGAACGGGGGGAGTAGATGTGAAGAGGACTTGCATTACGTCCCCGCGGTGCCAACGAGTAAGGCGCAACATCAGCCACATCAGGCGTTGCAGAAGCGAGCGGTTCCTTATCTTGGAGCTTCTCGTGAAGGTGCTTCAGGAACACCTTCCAAGGCAATCTTGACCACACATACGGGACCCCCCTCGAACGGTAAGTTTGTTCCAGCCTCCTGTGTGACTGGGCCATCGTTTTGAATAGTACCGCTGCTCGAACGCCCCACCCTTCCCTCCTCACCGGTCGCCCTACCCCCTCTTCCGGTTCCTGCCCTCGCCCGCTCCCCCACACCTCCCACACGCTCCGTGCCCGCAGAGGGCTCCACCTACGGCCCCCGGAGACAACCTTCGCATCACACGTCCCCGTCCCCCCGCCCAGTTCGGCAACACACTCGCACGGCTGGTGCCCCTGAGAAAATTCCACCTACGGCTCCGGGGGCAACGTTCGCATTGCGTTCCCCCGCCAATTTCGGCACGCCCCTCACGCATTTCGTACCCACCAGAGGCTCCACCTGCGGCCCCCGCGTAGCGTCCACCCGCCCATGCTGGCACAGCCCTCACACGTTTCATGCCCCACAGGGGGGCTCCACGTACGGCCCCAAGGATCATGTTCGCACACCGTCCATTCGGCCCATGTTGGCACACACGGCGCACGTGTCGTGTCTTACAGGGCGCCCTGCATACGGCCCCCAAAACAACCTTCGCACAGCGCCCCCCTGTCAATTTCGGCACCCGCCCCGCGCGTCTCGCGTCATACAGTAGGCTCCACTTACGGCCCCAGGGGCAACGTTCGCATTGCATCCACGCATCCACCCGCCCATGTCGGCACCCCGCTCGCACGTCGTGTGCCCTACATGCGCTCCACCTACGGCCCCAAGGACGACCTTCACATAGCGACCCCCGTCCGTGTCGGCACACCACAGGGAGCCAGCCCTACCTACGGCCCCAGCAACAACGTTCGCACAGCGCCCCCCCGTCAGCTTCGACACAGACATTGCGCGCGCCGTGCCCTAAATAGAGGGCGTTCGCATAGCGCCTCCCCGCCCAATTCTGGCGTACCCCTTACAAGCTTCGTGCCCCGGTCGGGAGCTCCACATACGGCCCCAGTGGTCACGTTCGCCTGGCGCCCCCATCGCTGATGTGGGCACAACCCTCACGCGCCTCGTGCCCCGCATGGAGCTCCAGAAAAACACGGCCCCAGGGACAGCCTTAATGTCATCCCCTCCATTTCGGCACATCCTCACACATTTTGTGCCCTACATGAAGCTCCACCTGCAGCCCCAATGACAATATTCCCATAACCCCCCCGCCAATTTCGGCACACACCTCACACGTTTTGTGCCCCACACGGAGCTCCACATACGGTCCCAGCGACAAAATGCGCGTAGCGTTCCCCCGCCTATGCCGGCACACCCCACACACGTTCTTGTGCCCCACATGGGGCTCCACCTACGGTCCCAAGGACAACCTTCGTATACCGTCCCACCGCCAATGAGCGCGGTTTTAGACGATTGGCGATAACAGCCGTCACCGGGACGCCCCGCCCCACCCCTCCTGGTAGCATCACCATTCGCGCTCCCCGCCCATGTCGGCACACCCCGTACGCGCTTCGTGCCCTACAGGAAGTTCCACCTACGGCCCCAGGGACAAATCTCGCACAACGCACCATAGGAAGTTCCACCTACACATCTTTCATTTCTAATCGTGCTCATTTCTAAGTGTGCTCGTTTCATATTGTTCCTGGCCCCCCAGTGGCCAGGAAGAGGCCCAGGGTAGCACAATTAGAAATGAGAGCATCTTCGCCACCCAAAAAAGCAAGGAATCTTCGAAGAATTAGAAATGAGCATTGTGCACGGCCCCGAAGACATTCGCAGAGCGTCCCCCCCGCCACTCTCGGCACATCACGCACACACGCGTTGCGTGCCCCATCTGGAGCTCCACCTACGGCCCCAGGGGCAACGTGCTCATAGCGCCACGCCGCACACTTCGGCGAATCCCTCTCACGTTTCGTGCTCCACGGGTGGCTCAGCCGAAAGGTGCAGGGGGGAAACTTCGCATGCCGCCCCCCCGCCCATTTTGGCGCACCCCTGGCGCGCATCGCGCCCCACACGGGGAGCTCGAACCTCGGTCTCAGTGGACGCGTTGGCGGCGGGGCTCCGCCCAATTCGGCGCCCGTGCCCCCCAGGGATTTCGGCGCGCCTCCCAGTATTTGAAAAGATGCACGCATACTGCGCTACACGCAGCTGCAGCCTAGGTCTAGGCCCTTCGCCAAGCTAAAGGGTTGGGGGGATGCCTTGAGCTTCGTTCTGTCTTGGCCACGCACACCTTGGCGGAGCGCCACTGCGTCAACCGGCTAACCACCTGCTCGAAGTAGTCGGTGAGTTTGCCGCTGGCCAACTTCTCCTTCGTGATCGTGTACGACGTGTCACCTGGCTGGGAAGGCTCTAGGGCACAGGTCTGCGCCTGCCTGGTCCGCCGAGGGGCTCGTGCTCGCGAGAATCCGATCTTCTGCTGCAAAACGGAGCTCTCGTTGCTTTTACCATGTGAGCGTTTTCTTATTCGGCGTTTCGGCATTGGGCGGAGGGGGGGGGAGGGGGGGTGTCTGGCTCCAGCCCTCTGCTTAGCGCGACTGCTTGCAACAGTGCGTCCTATGGGGGACTCCAGCGGCCCGAAACAGGCGCCAAAAAACAGCCAGGGGGGGATGGATGGGGGGGGGGCCAGGGCCCGCGCCGATCGGCAACACAAGGAATCATACAACGATCGCTATGCTCGTGTGTGCTTGCTGCATTTTTCAATCGCAATTCTGGCTCAGTCACGTTTTTGGGCCAGTCTTGAGGGCAGCCCTCGACAGGAATCCGCTGACCCTGTCGGCCGTCGTCGCCGTCGTCGTCGTCGTCGTGGTCGTCGTCGTCGTCGTCGCCGTCGTCGTCGTCGCCGTCGCGCTTGACCCCTTTCCCTGGGCCCGTCGCGAACCCCGCGAGCCAGCCAGAGCGAAACCAAAAGCGAGATGAGGCAGCGTTCCAGTAGTGTAGTCGAGGGGCATTTTTTTTGTTTATGTGATCCCTTCCCCCGGGGGGGGTCCCGTTGGGTGTGACGAGGGAGGGTCCCCAGGGGGGGGGGGGGGGGGGGCAGAGGCCTCCGCGATGGGGTCGGAGCAGACGGGGTCGGAGGATCGCGCCGCATCGCCGATACATCGGCGATACATCGCCGATGCGTCGGCGATGCATCGGCGACATGGGCGATGCATCGGCGACGCCAGCGTGGAGAAAATCGGGCTCCACATCGAGCCGCATCGCCGAGGCATCGTCGATGCGGCGCGATCCTCCGACCCCATCTACTCGGACCCCGTCTAGGAGGCCTAGAGGAGGGTCCCGAGTCAGAATGCCATCCTCCCCCCGGGGGATCCTGAGGAGGAGGAGGAGGAGGAGGAGGAGGAGGGCCCAGAGAAGCCACCAGAGCACCCCAGGGGGCCCCCAAGACGGCCCAAGAGGCCCCCGAGTCGCCGAACAGTCGGTCCGAGACGCCAGAGATGGCCTTCTGACGGCCCAAGCGGCTTCCAAGACGCTCGAAGAGGCCTCCGAGAACACACCGAGAGGGCCCTATCAGGCAACAGTATTTGTCCCCCCCCCCAAGAATGAAGAAGACTGCCGGCTTCCCAACAGATGGGAAGAAGACTCCACCAAGCAGAAATGATTGTCTTATGGATGGTTTGTTGCAATATTCTGGCGCTCTCGCCTTTTCGGCTTCCCGACGCCCCAAGATGGCCCAAGATGCCACCAAGACCGGCACGTGAGGCCCCGAAGAGGTTTCCAAGACGGCCCCAAAACGATCCAGGAGGGCCCCAAGACAGCCCCAGAGGCCTCCCAGAGGGGCCAACAGGCCCCCAAAACAGCTCCAAGAAGCTGCCCACACGGGAGCCCAAAGGAACATTTCGAGCCCTCGGCCCCGAGAAACTCCCAGGAGGCCCCAAGAGGCCCCCACGAGGCCCCCCGCCAGGCCTCAAGAGGCCCCCGAGAGGCCGAAGGGAGAGGCCCCCAAGACGCTCCCGAGAGGCCCCGAAACTTCCCCACACAGGCCTACGAGCGCGCTGCGAAGAGGCCCCCACGAGGCATCACTGAGGACTCTGCCCCACGTCAGCGTCGTCGTGGCCGCCGACGCCGCCGTCGTGGTCGCCGTCCCCCGCCAGGGTCGGCGGCACCGGTCACAAGGCCTTCCCAACTAGTTGGGAACATCGCCGCGAACGGGTAGGCTCTCCTGACAGGGTTGGCTTTGGACAGGTGACCGTTTTCCCATTCGGCGTTTCGACATTGGGCGGAAGGGGTGGGGGAAGGGGGGTCTGGCTCCGGACCTCTGCTTAGTGCGACTGTCTGAAACTGTGCGTCCTCTGGGGGAGGGACTCCACCCGCTCGAAACAGGCGCCAAAAAACAGTCAAGATCCACTCCAGGGGGGGGGGAGGGGGGGCCGGGGCCGATCGGCAAACTAAGGAATAAAAAAACGATCACCAATTGGTGTTGTATGAACACCTCGCTCGTAGATTCAACTAGCGGTGTTGCACACGTGCCGCAAGCGACGCCTTCAGCACATCTGCCTAAGAAGCTCATGGCGCGGATGTCCCCCGCCACCAGGCGCGTCGGGCGACGGCCTCACACGCAAGAGGACTGCAGACAGAGACTCACGCACATAACTAGAAGACTGGTTTTTGAATTTGAAACCTGGTACTGGTTTTTGAATTTAGAATCTAGTTTGTTGAATTGAACAACCAAACCTTTGCATCCAACAGCAGCTTCTTGAATAAAAAACAAGTTTCTGAATTCGCAAACCCTTTTCTTGAATTCAAAGACCGGCATTTCAGCCAAATGCAGGCGGCAAGACAGTCAGAAACTGCGCATGGGGCCAAACATACATCCCCGAGCGAGACTGAAGGAGGCAGCGCTCCCAGTCTCAAACGGGCACTTGCCTATCGAACGCAGGATCGCCAGATGAGGAGGCACACCCGGCACATGTGTATTCCCGATGCGGTGCTTGCACGAAGTCCTTGATGGGAGGTTATGACTACTCCCTCCTGATTACTCACTACGCACAATGCCCTACTCGCTACTCATTATTCACTACTCGATACTCCCTACTCGCTACTCACTACTCGCTACCCACTCCCCACAACCCACTACTCACGACTCACAAGTCACTTCTCACTGCGCACTACTCCCTACTCACTACTCACTACTCACTCGTCACTACTCGCTACTATCTTCTCACTATTCACTACTCACTACTCACTATCCCGAGGCCAGACCCCCCCCCCTTGCTGGAGAAGCCCCCTCCACGGCCCCCTGTTCGGCGCAAAGGAGGGGAGGGGGGGGGGAGGTTCGAACCCCACCCCCCCACCCCCTCCAGCGCCAAAGGGGGGAGGGGGGAGGGGGTGGTCTGGACCCCCCCCCCTTTCAAGAGGGGCGGGGGGAGGGAGGGGTTCGGACCCCCCCCCCTAAGGGGGGGAGGGGGGGGGGGTCGAACATCTCCCCCCCCCTTTAAGGGGGGGAGGGGGGGGGGTTCTGCGAGCACCCCCCCTTTTGTGTATTCAGGGTCATCCGCTGGCGCGCTTTCTCTGATGTGAGTGAACCAACTATCTGAATGAGTCTGTATAGTCTGTAAGTGGATGAGTCTAAGTGTGATTGAGTCTGACTGATGAGTGATCTGAGTGATGAGAGAAGCTGAACGACAAGTGAGTCTGAGCGACGAGTGAGTCTGAGCCTTCCTTTGGATTTGGGGAATGATGACCTGAGAGTGGAAGGTGTGTTCGCGTTGTCGATCCGCGCAGTCACGGTAACGACAATACTCCCATCCTTAGGATGTGGGGAACAACATGACGACTCAAAGGCCTTAACTCAACACGCGAGCCCGCCGTGCGCGCCCCCATGTTGCGCACACACACAATAAGCAAACCAACTTGAAACCGCATCGCCTCCTCGGCTATCGCAACGTCCCCAACGCCGAAGACAGCCCAAACAGCTCCGAAGAAGGCTCCACAAGAGTCCCTCGGCCCCGCCACGCCCCAGGAGTGCCCAAGATCGCCCAAAGAACGCCCCAAGATAAGCCCAAGAGGAGAAGCACGACCCACCAATTCGAGCTTTCCGCCCAAAGAAGCCCCCAAGAGGGTCCCGATAGTAGACCAAGAGGCCGCGAACGCGCACGCAAACGCCTGCGACGGCACAGTACGGACCGGCGGAATGAGCGAAGCGATTAAATAACCCCAAGAGGGCCTCAATAAGGCCGCGAGAAAGCCCAAAGGACTCTAAGAGGGCCTCCCCGAGACGGCTGCCAGAGTCTTCGTTTTCCTCCGTTTCCTCCTTATCTTTCTCGTTCGTCCTCTTCCCCCTCGCCTTCCTCTTCCTCCTCGTCTTCCTCCTGATCCTTATCCGCGTTCTCCTTCTCGTCCTCGTCTGCCTCCCTCGTCCTCCTCTTTGTCGTTGTCTTCCTCCTCCTCGTTCTCGTCCGCGTCCTGGGTCTGATCAAGCTGATCCAAGACGTCGTTTCCTGCACCGCCAGGGGGGCCTAGCGCGGATCCAACACACACCGCGCGGAGCCGCCGACAGTTTATGTTTACATCGTTTTCCTTCTTCGAGATATACGCGAGGCGTCGGGAATTCCTTGGCTGGGTGCTCTCGCGGTGCGCTGGCTGGGTGCCTTGGGTTCTCGCTTGGTGCCCGCGCCTGCTCCTCCTCCTCCTCCTCCTCCTCCTCCTCCTCCTCCCCTCTCCTCCTTCCTCCTCCTCCTCCTCCTCCTCCTCCTCCTCCCTCCTCCTCCTCCTCCTCCTCCTCCTCCTCCTCCTCCTCCTCCTCCTCCTCCTCCTCCTCCTCCTCCTCCTCCTCCTCCTCCTCCGCCTCCTCCTCCTCCTCCTCCTCCTCCTCCTCATCCTCCTCCTCCTCCTCCTCCTCCTCCTCCTCCTCCTCCTCCTCCTCCTCCTCCTCCTCCTCCTCCTCCTCCTCCTCCTCCTCCTCCTCCTCCTCCTCCTCCTCCTCCTCCTCCTCCTCCCTCCTCCTCCTCCTCCTCCTCCTCCTCCTCCTCCTCCTCCTCCTCCTCCTCCCTCCTCCTCCTCCTCCTCCTCCTCCTCCTCCTCCTCCTCCTCCTCCCCTCCTCCTCCCCCTTCCCCCCCCTCCCCCGCCTCCTCCCCCGCCTCCTACCACTCCGCCTCCTTCTCCGCCTCCTCCTCCGCCTCCTCATCCTCGTCCCTCCTCCGTCCGCTCCATATCCCGAGCTTATGGCAGGGTCGTGAGCTCGTCGTTGTCGTCGTCGTCGTGGTGGCCGTCGTCGTCGTTCTTCTGCGTCGGCGGCACCGACCGTAAGGCCTGAAGATGGTACGATGCTGGCCACGTGCGCGCGTCTCCGCGCGCGCACGTCGAAGTTCTTATGAAGCCATTGGTGTTCGAACTCTTTGGACACATAGGTGTGCAAACACAGACGAAACCTCTATGGATGGTAAAGCACGCATGTGCACGAAATTCCTGGTATCTGTGGGCGCGCATTTCTCCGCATCATCATCATCATCATCATCATCATCATCATCATCATCATCATCATCATCAGCAGCAGCAGCAGCAGCAGCATCATCATCTGTACAACCGGTATCACCATTGGTAACGTCAGCATTACCATCGTCACCGCCATCATCACCATTGTCGGCTTCATCACAACCACCACCGCCGTCATCGTCACCGTCGATGTCGTCGCCCACGTAAATTTCCTGCGCGCGCTTCGCCATGCTAAGCAAAAACTTCAACAACGTCATCGCCAGCGCCATCATTGCCATCGTCATCGCATCCCGATCAGCTTCATCGCCAGTCATGTTCGTCATTATCGGCATCGTCCCGACCTTTGTCATGAGCCTCATCAGCATCGTCATAATAGTCGTAGTCGTTGTCGATGCCAAGTCGGAGTTTGTCAACAAGCTGCGGGTGGGTGGGTGGGTGGGATATTTGCAACAGCATTGGAGGTGGTTGCGCGCGGATGCGGCCATAATAAACTCTACTGATCGCAACTAGCTTGCACCCCACACGGTGCACGACATAACCTGTATCCCGTATACCGCACTGTCCCACGTAGTTTGCATCGCATAGACTGCGCCGCCGCGCGCCCACGCCAAAATGACGCAGAAAGTTACTCAAGAGCTACAAACATGAGGGATCCTCGAGCCAGATAAGGAACTTGAATCAAGTGTTCTTCTGACGCGTGTGCGACCCTCGTCATCTGCCTGTCTGCAGCGGCTGCCGCCTGCACGTCCTGCTTGTCCTCCTCCTCCTGCTCCCCCTGCTCCTCCACCTCCTCCTGCTCCTCCTCCTCCTGCTCCTGCTCCTCCTCCGCCTCCGCCTGCTCTTCTTCTTTTTCCTCCTCCTCTTCCTGTTCTGTCTCTCCTCCTCCTCCTCCTGTTCTGTCTCTCCTTCTCCTCCTCCTCCTCGTCCTCCTCGTCCTCCTCCTTCCTCCGCATCCTCCTCCTCTTCCTGTTCTGTCGCTCCTCCACATCCTCCTCCTCCTCCTCCTCCTCCTTCCTCCTCCTTCTTCCTTTCGCATTCCCCCTCCTCCTCCTCCTCCTCCTCCTCCTCCTCCAGTTCTGTCTCTCCTCATCCTCCTCCTCCTTCCTCCTCCTTCCTCCTCCTCCTTCCTTTCGTATTCCCCCACTCCTCCTCCTCCTCCTCCTCCTCCTCCTCCTCCTCCTCCTCCTCAGCATCAGCATCAGCATCAGCATCAGCATCAGCATCAGCATCATCATCAGCAGCAGCATCAGCATCTGCACCATCATCATCATCAGCATCATCATCAACATCATCATCATCATCATCATCATCATCATCATCATCACCACCATCACCACCATTATCATCATCATCATCATCATCATCATCAGCATCATCATCATCATCATCATCATCATCATCATCTTCCTGCCTCCACCTGCCTCCTCCTCCCCGTCGCCGTCCCCCTCCTGCACGGCGACGCCTCTCACCTGTTAGGCGCATGTTGCTCCCCCGCCCTTGCGCGCGCGCACGTATTCTCACGTGCGACAGATGCTCCACCTCCAAGTCTGGTCCCTCGCCTGCGGCCCCGTCTTGGCCCGAAGCACGTGGAAACACGTGCCCCGCGCGCATGCGCCCGGCGCATGTTGGGTCCCCCCTCCGCGCATGCAAACACGTGCTCCGCGCGCGCGCCAATCGCATGTTGGGCCCCCCTCCGTTGCCCCCCCCCCTCCGAGCACATAATTTTTACGCGTCGGGAATTCGCCACTCCGAGTTGGGCCCCCCGAAGGCAACGTGGACACGTGGAGATGCGTGCCCCGCGCGCGCGCGTCAGGGGCATGTTGAGCCCCGCCCCCCCCCCCCCCCCTCCGCGCACGCGTGTTTAGCGGGTAAAGACCTCGGCACCTGCAAGTTGGGCCCCTGGCTTGCAGCCACGTCGTGGCCCGAAACGCGTGAAAACACGTGGCCCGCGCGCACGCGCCGATCGCATGTTGGGACCCCCCCTGGTTCGGCCGAGCGCACGTGCGCGTGGAGGGCCTGTGGCCCGCAAGCCCAAAAACGAACCCTGGGCCAGAACCTTTCCCGGGAAAAAGTGCTTTTCCAGCGGAAGCGATATCAAAATTCTTCGCGACAAAATCATAAGGCAACAACTGTGTTTGCCGGAATGTGCAACGATACCCTCAGGGCGACAGCCGCGCGCATGTCGGAAGCGGTCAACAACCCTCGTAGGCCCACGAGCACTGCCAGATCATGCAATTATTCTGGATGGGCAAAGCAGCCCTCGCGAAATCTCGCGCCGACGCGCCAGACCTGGCACTGCATACTGCCCTGGTCAGGCAGCAGCAGAGGACCAGTCAAATCAGAACGGGCGGGGCACGATTCTGGAAAAAAGCACGACGAGTTTGAAAGCTTTGTGACACTTCGCAGAGGGGGGAGGGGAGGGAAGGGGAGGGGGGCGACAGGGAGAGGGGGAGGAGGGAGAACAATTGCCCGTCCTTACGTCTGCAAGCAATACACCACGAACGCGTCCCCGTCCTCTCCTGAAATGCTTGTAGTCCAGCGGGTTGGTGTGTCCAATGGCTCCGCTCAAGCAGCGTCCTGACCCTGGCGCTCGAAGACCGTGAAATCCAACAAAAATGTGAGGCCAAGCAGGCCGGCCTTCCGCTTCTCGTCGGCGCCCTCTGGGAAGAACACAGCAAAGGTGTCTGCCGTTGAGCAACACTCTTTGTATAACCCACCCCAGACCTTGCGGATTTGCGGTTGCATGTTGTCGTCGTCCATCCCGTCGGTAATCCGATTGCCATCGGTGTCGTAGAAGAAATACGGAATCATCGGCTTCTTTTTTGAGAACCTGCATGTTGGGCAGCATCCCCCACAACAGGTGTCTGGCTTGAGCCTGTAAATCTCGTTCCCATTCTCCAGGTAGGCGAACTTTGACACGCAGCAGTACGCGTCGCAGATGTACTTGGACTTGAGCTCCACTCCATCAACCTCAGTCGTGAGCTCTGGGAGGCAGCAGCAGCAAGGGACCTCCAACGTTGCATCTTCTCCAATCGGGATACAAAAATTCAGCGGGCACCCGCACGGCTTCACGTAGTCGATGATGGGAGCTCCTCCGGACTCTCCCCCTTGGGACACGCTGATGCTCATGGCGCGCCCATCGCGCCAGCAGCAACGCATGCAGAAGCTTGACTGCTCCAGTGCGTACATCTCATCTGGTTGCGTCATAGCACCCTCCTTGAGGATGCCTCCCGTCTCCATATAGCTGAAATCCATGGCCGAGATCTTATACTCAGACTTGGCCTCGCAACCCATACACTCCTGGCAGCACCCCCGCGGCGTCTGCTTCACAAGTATCGCCTTCTTGTTCCCCAAATACGGCGCCAATGTCGACTTGGTTGGTTGCATCATCTGCTGTCCTGGTGCATAGGCCATGGTAGAGCGGCCGAAATGAGTTCACAATTTTCCGATGATGGCGAGGCAAGAATAATGATACACTTGAGCCACTGCCGAACAAGACAGTGCTGGCCACAGGCGCGCGTCTCTATGCACGCATGTCGAAATCCGTCCAAAACCAGTTGTGTTCGAACCGTGTCAGCATAGATATGCTCAAACACGAACGAAGTCCCAATGGGTGGTACAACAACGAATGCGCGAGGTTCAAAGCTTCTGCAGGCGCAAACTTCCTTATCACCCTCATCATTCTACTCAGTATCACTATCGTCAGCGCCATTAGTGCTATCATCATCGTCATCAGTATAGTTGTCTTCATCATCACCGCCACCACCATCATCGTCGTCGTCGACGCCGTCACCCTCGTCCACTTCCTGTGCGCACATTGTCCATTCATCCTCATCGCCAGCGCCACCATTGCCAACGTCAGTATCATCACCGTCAGTTTCATCACCATCGCTATCGTCACCGTCGACATCGTCCCAACCGTCGTCATGAGCATCACCATCATCATTATCATCATCATCAACATTAGCAGCATCACCACCATCATCATCACCATCATCGTCATCATCATCGACATCGTCATCTCCGCTATCGCCGCCCCATTGAATTTTGCTAACAAGCTGCGGGTGGGTAGGTGGGATCTTTGCACGAGCATAGGAGGTGTCACGCGCAGATCCTGTCACAAGTAATTTCATCACATGGATTGTAACACGTAACTGCAACGCAGAAAAAAGGACCACGCCGATGCTATCCCACAAGCTGCACCATGCAGAATGCACATCGGGTGTGCAAGTAACCGAATGTCTGGGACCCACGAAGGCAAACATTGCGCATAAAAGCACATGCTCTGATGACATTCAGAACGCGCGTTGGGTTCTTCATCATCAAACGATTGAGCGGCACAATGGACGAGGCTCGCCTGACAGGTGGAGAGAAAGGCGACGACAAGCTTGAAGAGCATGAGTCAGTACGACCGACGGGCCGAACACATATCAACGTGGTTGCCGCGCTCGTCTCGATTATCACTGTATTCCTCTGGCTCAACCCGTGGAGATGCAAATGCGACCACACTCCCTTCGGTATGATAAAACACCCGCCCAGCGCGCCCTCGAACAATGCGAAAATATGTGGCCTCCTCGTCTCACTTCGCCACTATCCATAGCAGCCCCCTTCGCCAGCCAACTAGTGGATGGACAAACCGTTGGATCTGCACGAGTGTCAAGGTGGGATGAAGGGAAGCAGGCGTGCATCACTGAACCTTGAAGGCACCGCTCCTCTTCGGCGCGCCCCTCCGATAGAACCGTCACCTCTCGAGACCCCACGTGGATGCTGGGGCGGGTTCACGCAGGCGGAACTGCCTTCGACCCAGAGGTCGCTGCTGGGCAAACTCACGCGCAAGACATTACCTTTCGGTCCAGGCCTGGCATCGGACCCTTCATGAACCGTCATCTGCGACTCTG